ATGGCGGATATGGTTGTAGAGTCGAAATCGGAAGACCGATAATAATACGTAAGTAATGTTTGTTTCACGAAGATTTGTACTTTTGACATCATTTGCCTTCCTTTTTTAATAAATTAAATTTTACTGGAACAAATTATTTGTTAAAAAGGAAGGCGAATATGTCTTAAGTACAAACCTTCGTGAAACAAAGAGTAGTTTAATTATCCTTTATGTTCTCTTGATATTGTAAACTGAATATATGCTCATATAAATTGTATAAGGACTTTTCACCCACCTTTACAAATTTATTTCTTCTAGAAAGCTACACTGGAATAAGTTCACATCTTTCTAGGTATCTAAATAACAAAGCATGGTTTTGGTATTTACCTTCTTTGTCCCAGTTTTCAGATAGATGAAACTTTTTTAAATTTTGCATTTCCTGATAACTAGGTAGTTATTACATTGAAGTAGTCATCTGGTAAGTCCTAGTTATCCATAATTTTTGATTAATGATTTATATAAGGATGCCCTCCAATAACGGTTGCGATTCTATATGATTGAAAAAAAAAATCTATTGGATAGACAAATATATGTTTACTATGCATGCAATGCGACCACATTAGTTTTAGTGAAAAAAACAAGAACAATTGCAGGTAGAGTAGAAATCAATCGAGAAGAAGCCACACGCGTTATCGTTTGTCTCATTTTAAATGGGACGGACCCGGAGAAAAGCAAATCTGCTTTCTTTGTCAGCGCTAACGACAATGGCTTCTTCTCGTTTGATTTTTACTCTATTATAAAATTTGATGTGGTTATATAATACGCACGCCCCCGGCGGAACTGCAGGAGCTCGCGCACCACTGTAGGGGGAAAAACATCCCACTCCTTGTGGGAGCTGACGCGAATGCACACATCATCTTCTGGGGAAGCTCAAACACCAACACCAGAGGTGAGTACATTTTTGAATACTTACTTGAAATGAACTTTGATATTTACAATAAAGGGAATACACCCACTTTTGTAACAAGGGCTAGGGAGGAAGTATTAGACATTACATTTGTTAGTTCTGAAATAAAGAACTACGTGAAAAACTGGAGGGTCTCGGCTGAACCCTCCCTGTCTGATCACAGGATCATAGAGTTCAGCCTAGAAATAAGCACCTCCAAAGCAAAACTCAGGAGAAATCCTAGGAGAACAAACTGGGAATTATACAGAGTTAATCTGTAGGAAAATCTCAAAGCAATCAACCCAGGAAGAATAGGAAATCACCTAGAACTGGAAGAGAAAGTACGGCTCGTGAACCAGGCAGTAATAGAGGCCTTTGACTCTAGCTGCCACGTGGTTTCGAAAGAACGCTCGAGTGTGGCCCCATGGTGGAATGCAAAGCTGGCACGCCTCCGGACCCAGGCTCGGTGTTTATTCAACACAGCCAGGAGAACCGGAGAGTGGCAGCGGTACACAGAGACCCTCACAGAATACAACAAAGAAATCAGAAAGGCAAAAAAAAACAACTTTAGGACTTTCTGTGAAAACATCACCTCGACTCCAGTAGCCGCTAGACTACACAAGGCAATGGCCAGATGGTACCTACACGGAAGGGGAAGAAGAGCGTGCGTTCCTTCTTTTAAGCAAACACTTCCCAGGCAGCAAACGTACAAACAGAAGTGAGGAAAGTTCATACCCCAGACGCCCCACAAGGGAGGACTGGGAAATAGTAAAAGTAGTACTCACCAACAAGCGGCTCGAATGGGCATTGAACATATTCGAACCTCTGAAATCGCCAGGAGTGGACGAGATCTTTCCAGCACTCCTACAAAGAGGAAAAACAGAGATCATGCCGCACCTTGTAGATATAACCAGAAGCAGCATGGCAAGGGGATATATACCTCAAATATGGAGAAGGGCAAGAGTCACTTTCATTCCGAAGGTAGACAAGAAGGATGGGACAGACCCCAGATCCTTCAGACCAATAAGCCTCACATCGTTTCTTTTAAAGACAATAGAGAAGGCAGTAGATAGCTATATCTGATTCACTTCATTGGAAAGGCAGCCGCTGAATGCGAGTCAGCACGCTTACAGAGCAGGTAAATCCACTGAGACAGCTCTGTTCCAACTGACGAGTAGGACACAAGAATCTTTGGAAGGAAAATAAGTCGCACTGTGCGCTTTCCTAGACATCGCTGGCGCCTTCGACAACGCATCCCATATGGCCATTCGGAGAGCTCTAGCGAGAAGGGGAGTCAACGATACAATATCCTGATGGATGTGTAGGATGCTTGCCACAAGGTCAGCAGAGACTTCAGTAGGCACCAAGTCTATTGAGGTAGCACCACTAGAGGCACTCCCCAGGGCGGAGTATGCTCCCCCCTGATGTGGAGCTTGGTGGTGGACGAACTGCTAGAAATACTGAACAACCTGGACCTGGACTGCGTTGGTTATGCCGATGACATCGTCATCATGGCAAGAGGAAAGTTCGAGGGCATCCTGTGTGAACTCATACACACTGGACTTAAAGCAACGGAGGATTGGTGTAAAACAGTGGGACTGGAGATAAACCCATCGAAAACCACTGTAGTGCCTTTCACTAAGAAGAGAGAACTTTCTAGAATGAAGGACATCCGGATACACGGAACTATCATTATACCGGCATCGGAAGTCAGATATCTCGGTGTAATGCTGGACCGCAAACTCAGATGGAACAAACACATCGAGAGAGCTGTAACCAAGGCTACGAGGGCTCTCATAGTGTGCCGAAGCGTCGCGGGCAAATCCTGGGGATGCAAACCAGGGATCTTGGGGTGGATGTACACCATGATAGTAAGACCAGCTCTACTATACGGATCGGTAGTCTGGTTCAATGCAGTTGAGAAGCAGAACATAAAAGCAGCTCCCAACAAACTACAGCGCCTGGCCTGCACATGCATTACAGGCGCAATAAGATCTTGCCCCACAGCAGCCATCGAGACAATTATAGGTCTCGCACCTCTTCACATTAGGGCGGAGGGGGCTGCCAGACGAGCAATAACCAAAATCACGAGGGAAGGAGCTGCCGAGGGAGGTTGGCTAAGATGGAGAGACCTAGCATCTCTGACCAAGCTTATTCCGCTCCTCGAGCTCCCCAGGGACGATATGACTAAAACACAGCATCTAGGCAAACACTTCACAATAGTGATAAGGAGCAGAAAAGAAGGGAAAGAAAATACCACATCCATTCTTGAAACTCAGCAAAAAGCCATAAAATGGTACACCGATGGGTCAAGAACCGAATAAGGGACCGGAGCTGGAGTATTTGGGCCTGGAACCAAGTTCTCTGAAGCAATGGGAAAATACCCGGACATATTTCAGGCGGAAATAAACGCTATAAGTAGATGTACTGAGTTCAATCTTGACAGAAACTACAGAAAGAGAGAGATTGTCATATTCTCCGACAGTCAAGCAGCCATTAAAGCGCTGAGCTCACCAATAATCAGCTCCAGAATGGTTTGGGATTGCCAGGACAAGTTAAACAGACTGGGCAAGGATAACAGACTATCCCTCCAGTGGATACCGGGACACGAAGGGATGAAGGCAACGAGAAGGCGGACCAACTAGCGAAATTAGGGGCACAGACCCCGATCTCAGGACCGGAACCCTTCTGCAGCATAGGGAAACACACCTATGAAGAAGCCTGCAGAGAGCAACAATCTCTGGGAGCAACTTCCAGGGTTGAGGCAATCGAAGATGTTTCTTGGGCACCCTGACCAAGGGAGACCTAAAGACCTCACATCACTAAGCAGAAACAATCTCCGCATTCTCACCGGATTCCTCACAGGCCACTGCCGGTTAAGAGGGCACCTTGAGAGAATTAAAATTGAAAACGAGAACAGCTGCCGATTCTGTGAGGAAGGGGAGGAAACTCCTGAACACCTTCTAACGGAATGCGAGGCGATCGGGAATACACGAATGGCCTGCTTCGGATGCTACATCGTGGGACGGGAAAAAATTCCATCCATAGAACCATCCAGAGTACTTGCTTTCATAAAAGCATTAAAGCTGGATGAGGTGCTTTAAGCGAGAGTCCATCAACTGGAGCGCCAAGAATAGATCTATGCAGGTCGCAGTGTAGCAAAACCCCCAATTAATTTATTCATTCATTCATAATACCAAACTTCTATCACAGGATCGAAAATTACTTAAAACCTATGACACTTGTTTAATTCAACTCAATTTCAAAACCAAATTAAAATTACCGATGCATTGTTTTGCGTTGAAAATTGTAAAATTATTCATTTTCCGAACGTTCATTTGCATAATTTGACCTATTTGGAAACCATTATCCTTCAAGAAAATAACCGACTCAACTTATTGAATATGCATCGACTAATTTAACTACTCCTGCACACAGAAAAACACTTTTGTCTAAAGCTTATGCGTGTAATTAAAAACAGCTTCCAGCAAACAATGAAAATTGTGCTTTTAATGCCCAAAAAACAGCGAGGTTGCAATATAAGATCGTAAAAATGAAACAATGCCCATAGTCTAGTCACGGTCTGCTGGATTCAAAAGTGAAGTTTGATGTTTTTTTTTGGCTGCTGCTTGCTGGGGCAAGCTATAAAGGTTTCTAATGTACCAGTAGTGTTTTATTAGCTAGGTCTAGTAGTCGTTTCGTAATTAGTTTTTTGATTTATATCCTATAGTGACAACTTTTAATTCAAATATCAAATATTTTTCAATGCAAATACGTGAGTTCCTGACTAAAAACACTTGTTTTGTTTGTAACTAAGCACCATTCTGCTAAACGGTTCATTTATTACAACAAAGCATAAGCTGGTATGGGATAGAATCGGCACCAGTGAAGGTCGAAAAACAAACATAACAATATTTTTAAATGCCATGTTTTTTTTTCAAATAATAGGTCAATATTTAGCTATGGAGAATAATTGCGCAGAACAATTAAACAGGCTGACATAATTTAGTTCCTTCATATGGCACTATAAATTTGGAAATAACGCATTAAAACATTTCAAGCAAAATACGAGCCATTAAGTGCCCACCAAAATATTATGTGGACTAATATCCATAAATCTTTTAGCATCTGCATCGCGATAAATAGATTTCGTGCCATCAACACTAGAATAAAATGTGGTTTTAAGTAAACGTTATAAGTTTACATCCTATTAAAAAATATGTTTCACTACAGCACTAACTCGTTAAAAAAACTCCATATAACCAGGTACAAAAAATTTGGAGAGCTGCTCAATAAAACGAAAAAATGACACTAGAAACTGACGCACATACAGATATAGGATGTAGCCTAGAGAGAATGATTATAGAACACAGTGTTTCCTATTATCTTTGTCTCCTCCCTGTGTGGTGCTTACGTCTCCCCACTGTTTCAGTTTTGTTTTATATGAATGTTTCACTTCTATCGCATGTGAACTGCTCACGTTTTTTTTTTTTTTTTTCTTTTTTTTTTTTTTTTTCTTTTTTTTTTTTGGCTCAAGACTCCGTGGTCCACTCTGCTGTTTCATGCAAATTGGAGTCCCCTATTTTGAAACCTCTCCTCACTGATTCGCGCAAGAAGCAAACATTTTTTCAGTCTCCTTTGATTATAATGCATAACAAATGATTAACATTAGACCCTGTATAAGGAAGCGCAGGATGAATTTCCTGAATATCTCACTAATAGGTATTTGTATGCTAAGAACGCGAAATGTCTTTTCAGCATGCCTAGTGAAAAATTGCGCTTGCGGCCGAACTATGATGATCTTGAGGATGCTGAAAAGTGTCGCGGTCATGGTATACACACTATCTTTGTGCTATGAACTATTGTGGAAAATTGTATTTCTTTGAAAAAGCCTGGAACCAACCACCTGTTCAATTTACAGCCTGGAGGTAGTGGTGGCAAAGCGTTTCTATGGATTTGACTGATGACAATGTAAAATCAAGAGTGATTTTATTTGTCCTAAATAAGTGCGAAGCTGATCGCATTGAATAAAATGCGTGTAGTACTTGTAGTACCTAATAATTCACTAAATTGCCCTCTTGGTAGCAGGAGCCAGAAGAAAGAAAGTAAAGAAGAAGAATCAGGGAAATGGAACTCTGCGGGTGAAACTGATAGTGATCATGCCCAATCTGCCAATTAGCCAAAAAAATTCGGGATTTGACTATCTAAAGATTGTTAGGACCCTTAGGTACTGGTGGATAATGGGATAACCAGCAGGCTACAAATATACTTGAAAAAGATGGAACGCCGGGAATAAATGAAATCACAAAAAATCAGACATGCATCTAGCCAGATTGTAGATTGCATTTGGAGTCGTTACAGCTTGTTCCAGCCGCTCAAGCACTGGTTCCTTTCAAGATATTTTGTGCGTGACTACTTCAAATTGGTGTCTAAGATTTAAAGGCTTCTCCTAGTCCTAAAGGAGGCCAGCTTCCTGGTTGGTAAAGTTCCAACCTCTTGGCGTGTGAGCCGTACCCCTTCAAGATATTCCAGCCTTTTGCAGAAGTGAGCAGAGCATTCACAGATTTAATGTTCTGTTGCTTGATCTGCAGTGGTCCTTGTCTGATTCGCCTATTGTTTTCAGGTGATATTTCACCAGGCAATGCCCAGTGAGCAGACCAACGACTGTTCTAATGCCTCTTCTGTTCATGTTGAGAAGATTTTTTTGCTGAGATAGATATAAACCTTTTCGCCTGTGTCAGACCCGAAATGGATCTCCAATGAGCGAGCATTCGGTCCTTTTCCCATCTGTTCATTTCTTCGGAGACGTGGCTTTTCATTAGTCTGCAAAAAGGCCCTGGGTCTTGAAAAAATGTTGAAGTACCTTGCTTCGCAAGACGGTCTGCCTCCTCGTTATCCTCTTGGCCCTGGCACCCACATCAGAGTTACTTTGTTCCTTCCAGCCGGTTGCTTAAGGAAATTTTTACCAAACTAGCTGCGAATTATACTTGATGGCTCCTATAGCGCCTTTAGAGTCGCTTGACTGTCTTACTGTAAATGGGCTTTCTTAAAAGGCCTCTTTCGAGGCACTCTTGAGCACAGATGCTTATGGGCAATACCTCAGCTTGAAATATTGTAGGCGCTGTACCCATTGCTAAGCAGAGTTTAAACTTCGGTCTAGTTATTCCCAAACTCCTTCCGTTAGCTTCGAACCATCTGTGTACCACATTAATGCGTGGTCCGTTTGCAGTAGCTTTACGTTCTTCCCAATGACCTGTTGGCGTTCTTTCATGACCACTTCATATGGAATGTGGAATGTCAACGTCCAGCGATGTTATCATATCAAAGTCTATCATATGATCTGTTGGTTTACTTTGGCACTCGAGCTACATCTAGCTAATCAAAAGACAAAATGTTTCTGAACTCCTATGTAGTCCAAGAAACGGGTATCTGAAAAGATGGTTCACCTCAACATAATTTGAAGTTAACATTTTTTTGGGGGGATCGGTCCATTTTAATATGGTAAATAACATATTTAGTTTGCGACCTTGTACTTCCATAGGGTTTTTAGTTAGGGGTGGTTTTTAGGGGTAATTTGCGGTTTATGGAGAACGCTGCTCAAAGGAATGGTCCAATAACAAAAAGTTTCAAATGATTGTTGTAGCTGAAGTTTTTTGCTATATGAAACTCCGCGACAGCACCTCTTTATCTTCTATAGTTTTTTTTTCTGCAGCATCTTGAATAGTACCATGCTTTTGTTCCAGGTCACTGAATCAACGTTTCGTCTGTTTGCGCGCATTTGATGCAGCAGCGGCTGAATGCATAATCCGATTTCAATTTTTCAAACACCACATTATTGCTAATGAAATGCACTCTCCAATGCTTCTTTGTTCGAATTTTTTGCTTGAAAATTAAGCGAGCGCGGACTTGCTTAATGTGCGAGGAAGTTGTAAATTGCATCGGAAACTACCCCTTTCTTGCATTCACTGTAATTTCTAAACGGGGCCAAATATTTGGTGACTGTTATCGACAATCGGCAGCCTATTTATTCCTCCCATAATACCCCAGCGGATTTTTTCTTCCGTTAATTACTTAATGACTTAATGGCATGAACACGTCCCGCGGAATTTTTCAAAAAGTCAAAAAAAAAAAAAAAAAAAAATGTCGCACAGCGCTGAAATTTGGTACGATGGCTTTATTCATTGTTCTTATGAATATACTGTAATTTTAATTGCTTCACATGACTGCTGCAACAATTAGAATTGCAGTATATTCATGAGAACAATAAATAAAGCCATCGTACCAAATTTCAGCGCTGTGCGACCAATTTAATTTTTTTTGACTTTTTGAAAAATTCCGCGCGACGTGTTCTGGCCAATAAGTCATTGAGTAAATAACGAAAAAAAATCCGCTGCGGCATTATGAGAGGAATAAATGGGCTGCCGATTATCGAAACCTGTCACCAAATATTTGGCCCCGTTTAGAAACTACAGTGAATACAAGAAAGGGGTAGTTTTCGATGCAATTTACAACTTGCTCGCACGTTAGGCAAGTCCGTGCTGACTTAATTTTCAAGCAAAAAATTCGTACAAAAAAGCATTGGAGAGTGCATTTCATTAGCAATAGTGTGGTGTTTGCACAATTGAAATCGGATTATGCATTCGGCCGCTACTCCATCAAATGCGTGCAAACAGGCGAAACGTTGATTCAGTGACCTTGAACAAAAACATGCTACTATTCAAGACGCTGCAGAAAAAAAACTATAGAAGATAAAGGGGTGCTGTCGCTGAGTTTTTTATAGCAAAAAACTTCCGCTACAACAATCATTTGAAACTTTTTGCTATTGGACCATCCCTTTAAGCAGCGTTCTCTATAAACTCCATCCGCAAATTATCTAAAAACCACCCCTAACTAAAAACCTTATGGAAGTACAAGGTCGCAAACTTAATATGTTATTTAGCACATGAAAATGGACCAATCCCCCCCAAAAAATGTTAACTTCTAATTATAATGAGGTAAACTTCCTTCAATGCTTGGCCTATGTGAAGTGGCATCATTTTGAGCATTTACCTAAGGTGGATGTTAAATGAACATATTTATTCAAAAATCAGTCATCTAACTAGTCTGCTTAGATGTTTTCAATCGTTTATCTTAATAGGTAGGTATAGATACACTTCCCACACCTTTTTACAAGTGCAAACAAAATTCCTACCTTAGCTCTTTTTAATTTGTCAGCAATCAGTATTGTTTACTTTAAGCATCAGGAGAATAAAACACCTTGTGTTGCACAAAAATATAAATGACCTAGACAATTTTATATTATGATGAAAATAAACGTAACTACCCACGTACATAATTATATTGTCCATAATATTGTTACGATGTCGTGTCAACCTCATTTATGATCAAACGCCAATATTCCATCATCGCCCGTGTAAATGAAAAATGAACCACTCAAACCTAAATAAAAATATCCCGGACCACCTCAATTTACCATTGATTAACCTTGAGCCAAACAAATTTCACGATGCATAATAAGTGGTGCTGGTATTCGATGCATCAGGAACTATTTTTGCAATGCATCCGATAATAAACTCACAAATCGTTAGCTATTGGCATGGTTGCCAAATTTATCTGGCATAAATACGATGGCGGAAACTTTGGCACCGGGTCTTAGCATGTCAGTCATCCCGGATCCCGGTTAAACTTATTTGTGTTGTTGGAAAAACTAGTATTGTTCAATCCAAAACAAAACAATGTCACTTAGTAAGTTATTGATTATTTCATTTGACAAATAGATCAGACATCTAAACTAAAACAAGAAAGAGTATTTTGTTTCTGTTATCGCATCGATATTTTTGATCCTGTGAATGTGATTGAAAAATGTGTTGAGTGTTTGTGAGACTACTCATCGCTTGGTCCTGCTAGTTCTTTGGTTCTGGTCTTTTAATAAAGATTCTTCTTCCTATAGTGAGAATACGCAGTATAGGATGAGGTTCCACCACAGTTGTGCCATAACCTTCAGCTTATCTGTCACCCCATTCCTCTCGCCCCTTGCGAATCACGTCATTCCAAATTCTGTCCATCAAAGAACCCAACTTTTTGAGCTTCTCTGCTGTATGTTTTCTGGCAATGGTCAAAATGTCTGCAATTCGTAACTCAGTTAGACACAATACAGCTATAT